CCCCCCAACGACCCGAATATCGTGACCGTACGTCGAGCGGTTAAGATTTGTGCCCAACTGTTGACGGACGGACGGACGGACGGACGGACAGACGGACGGACGGCCGGACGATCATGCGATTCTACAAGCTGCATCTGACTACGTCAGATGAGCTAATAATTATAAAAATAATTATAGTACTGCCATAAGCTACAACTGTGCCAAGTTTGAGACTTTTGTCACTCCTGTAACGATTCGGCCCATATTTTTCACTAAGGGACCTGACTATTAAAATAACGGCTTTCGCTTGTATGTCAGTTCAACGGAAACCTCGGAAATTGCTAACTCGGCGGGCAATGTGGCTCGCTGGGAGATTTGAGCCCGATCTGGTGCTAATTGCGGTTGGTGTGCGTGCGTGGGGGCATGCCAGCTGTATGCCGGTATGCCGGTATGTAGCTGTGTACCGGGTCAAAGGTTATCTCGCCGAGTGTTGTGTTCATGCGCTGATGCCTAATCTCCCAGCGAGCCACATGCCTCGCTGAGTTAGCAATAGCGCGTTAGTAGCTGCCTTGTTTGAATATAGGCGGCCAATCGGCTCGGATTGATGGCCAAAGAATGGATAATCGTGTCGTACGTTTTAGTCTGTACCTCCGGATTGCTTGTGTATACGAGGAAACGATTTCACACGATCATGATGCTAGGCGAATGTACTGTGTACGATTTGAGCTCAAGTTGGATGAGTTACGCGTAATAAATCGTAGGTAGGCCTATTTTAAGGCTAGTAAATAACGAATTTCCCTTGTTTATTGATTTCACACTCCTTCCCTATTAGTGTTAATAGGATTATCTACTTCTGATCTATATCAATATCAATGCTTAAACATTTGTAAATTTTGTGATTTACGGCCGAATGGTATTTTGTTAGCGCCTATCGCACCCTCTAGCGTATTACTTCCACTTTCCCATGCAACAACGGCGATAGTGGCGTCATCTGGCGTCAGACATCTCTAGCATCGCCTGTCTAATTTAGTGCGATTAATAGATTTACTAATAATATTGTGTATATAATGTAAAACCCGTAGGCACGATGACTGACTACGCACAAGAACAGCAGGATGAAATTGAAGCAATCCAGTCTATTTATCCCGAAGAATATGAAGGTCTGTACTGATAGGCTGTAGGCCTACACTGTAGGCTGTGAGTGTGTGTTTGCGTAGATACAATAATGTAACCCAAACCCAGAGAGGATAGGTGATAGTGATTCACTCGTGCATTGCTCCGCACAAAAGGATAGGCTCGCGTTGTAACCCTATCCTCTCTGGGTTTGGGTTACATTATTGTATCTAGTGTTTGCGGAGTGGTTGATTTGAACTGTGAAAGACTAACCCTAACCCTAACCCTAACCCTAACAATAACCCTAACCATAACCCTAACCTATTATATTGATATAATATTATATTAATATTGATGTAAATGACATTGGTTTTATTGGGCTACATGTTCTCTATCCTTGAACCAAGACGGCCGTCAACTAACCCTCCTTGGGTGGGCCCATATTTCTGTGTCTGTGACGTACATGTTGGGATGTCTCGCTCACGTGTGTTCTAAGAATCTAAACTAACGTTCGGCTTGCTGCCACTCGGGTTAATGCTAGCGTAGCTCTAGCTCTAGAATTATAGCCCTCCGCTCCGCCGCAGGGCTATAAAGCCGCA